GCCCACAAGAAGTATAGCATATTTATTTTCTTGGTTATTCTGTCTCTGGGTTGGCATTACATTATCTTTGGTGTCAGCGTCACATTTTGCCAAACTTACAGCAACAGTCTCACTGGTACTACATATGTCAGATTGGGACGGAGCGTGGGACACGATCACGGACGATCTTGTTCTATGCACTTTTCACAGCCATACTTTCTTTCTCTGTGGTGACTGGTTTTGGTTTTCCTGTACTGGCTGCTTTGTTCGGCTGTTGTTTGCAGTGACTGTGTCATTTGTTCAACAATGCTTGCAAGTTTTTCAACTTTCTCTGGCAGCTGCTGGATCATATCCACCTTAGGTCTTTTTCCTGCATTTTCCTCTTTCAATACAGGACACTGCGTGCCGTTAATCTCAACTTGTGTACTGTGCACATTGGTGTTTCTCTGACGGGTGACTGATCCCAGACGACGGTGTCTTTCACTTTCATCACTCATTACCTTCTTCATTTGTTTAAGGATAGCCTCATCTGTGACATTGGCATCTGCAAGGAGTGGCTTTAACTCGCTACGAATGTCACTATGTTTGTGGCCCAGTCCTTGATACACAGTATGAAGAAATACATCCTGAACTGTACTGGCTGAATACTTTACATCTGAGTTGGTATGCTTTAAGGTGAGCAAGATCTTTTGTTTGAGACCTATGACTCAATACAGGAACTGTTGTGGTGTCTCGCTGTCACTTTGTTTGGTGCACATGAGTTCCTGGAAAAAGTCTGTGTTGTTTTGCTCACCAAGGTGTGAATGGAGGATGTCTTTAAGCTCCTCTACTGACAGTTCATCCTTGTTCATTAGCATGTCTTTGAAATTACCAGGTTTGATAACTCTCATGACAGCCCTCACAATCTCTGCATCATGAAACTGTTCTTTGAGACCCTCTTCAATCTGGCGGCAGATGCTGTTATAACTGATGTCTGATCCCTGGTCTCCAATCTGGCCCCCGTGAATCTTAAACTCCCTACGATGGAGGTAAGACAAGTCTCTTAGGGACACCACCTTGTCATGTCTCATGGGTGCGTGAGTTTCAACTAAGCGGTCATTGTGTGGTGTGCTTCTACAATGAGCCTGTGATGCTGTCTGAGAGGTAAGTTGCGGACCTGATGTAGGCATGTACTGCTTAATTTTCTTAGAGAGCTCTTTGTAACTGAAGAGTATTTTTTGTAGTTCTATATCATGTTGGGAAACAGCAGTAGAGTTGGTATTCTGGGTCACACTGTCAGTTACTTCTGTACCACTATTATGACCATCTTCTAAAAACATTGCATTAGTTGGACTCACTTCAACACTGACATCATGAGGCTGAGCATTTGGACATAGATCACATGAATCATTACCAGTGGCGGCCTGTATATGCAGATCAGAAACATGACCCTGGGTAACATCAACAACATCTTTCAGTGACAATAAGTGTGACATGCCCTGATCTTCTGACTCTAATAAAGCCTTACTGCACATGAAACCACTGATGTACTCGAAGCAGCTGTCTTCATCCCCTGACTTAAGGCAAGACTGGTCCACTCCTGGCACTGGACCCAGAGACTTGGCAATCTGGAACAGTTCATCAGCAGAGAGGGTGAGAAGGTCTTTCTTGATGGCCCACACCAAGCTCCTCCTCTCACCTTCCACCATGGTAGTTTCCCTATCCCTTGCAGTGGGTCACACAATGTCAGCTTTC